AGTCGTCTCAGTTGTCAAAGAATTCTTGATGTCACCTTTCACGCAATCTATCTCTTTCTAGGTCCACCTCGAATGGTGACCACACTTATATGATCTCATAAGAATAAGTAAGTGTACCAGTATTTGACAGTTTACTGTAAAAAGCCCAATTTTCTTGTTCACTTTTTTGCAATGAAATTTTTATAACCTTTTTAATGTCCTTAAAAATATAAAACTATCAATTATAGGCTCTCTTACCTTAGTTCTACAATAAAATAAAGTATTTTTTCATTTTAATTTCCAAGAATCTATTTAGTTTGAAATAACGAATTCTCGGAATTAATAAAAGGAGTTGATAATTGTTTTAATTCGAAAAAACTTCGACGTTTAAAAGTTACTCCAATAAAAATATTGGCTGGCTTCAATTATTTAATTTAGAGAAATTTGTTGGGCAACGTACTTAATTCTTTTGTTTTTGATAGGATTCTAAGATCTATAAAATATATAGACTTTTATGATTACCGCAATTCTATACTTCTTAATTGGGTCGATGTGGAAATTGTTTTAATTACTTGGGATGAAATTTCTTTGACTAAAACTGTAACTAACCTCTAAAAGTTTTTTTGAGACTACGGATTTGGGGAGTTTACATTGACGATGTCTAAGATTATAAATGCGAAAGATTAGATGGACGTTTTTAAGGTTTTTTTTTTGTATCATAAGGTGGCAAACGAGCAAGCGACCACCTAAACCCGGCAAAATGGCGAAGCGACCGCTGCCCATTGACATCCGCATTTGCAGTTGCCTTGCCTACCTTAAATCGATGGAAAAGGAGACGCACATAAAGAGGATATTTCCCCTTTTTATGCGTCTCCTCCACCGTCAAATCCATTTTCTCATCCAATTCCTGCCTTATATGAAGAGGGTAGAACGGGAAAGGGACTAAAATTGGGCCTCCCGCACCACACTTATCAGACAAAACGCGGAATTGTATCCACTTCACGTCTGTCTTCTGTGTGGTCGTGGTATTGTATCGGGCGAGCCGACCCATTCGTGCAAAGATGTGAAAGCGGGCTCTACCACTGTAAATGTTATCATTTTTATTGTATTTTTAAAAAAAACGTACCGATACAGCATACATACATATTGTAAGGGCAATCCCTGTAAGGTTTCTGTTTCCGTTTGACACAATGACCCATATATTGATTCTGTAACTTAACACTTAGATATCAAGTGTGTAACCACCCTTAACGTGCTTGATTTTATATGATACTAGCTGTTGCTCGCGACTTTCCACGGGAAATATAAAAATATATCTTCTACATTTATACCAGATTTCATCGAGATCCGTTCAGCCGTTTAGGCTACAAACTCTTAACAAACATCCATTCATCCATCCATCTAAACTTTCGCATTTATAATATTAGTAAGATTAGAATTAATTAGAATCTAGAAATCTATTCTGTCAAATCGACGTTTTACTAAATAAAGTTAGCGAACAAAATAATTAATTTTCAAGAATTCTATTTGCTTTTGAAGTATTTGAAAGTGTTTCCTCAATTACTTATAAAACATTAAGATAATTGAAATTTTGTTTTCTCTTATATTTCCAACATTCTTATTCTGATTGCGACAAAAATGAAAATGGAGATAAAAATGATCAATTAATTATGCTGCGAAAAAGATTAAAAAAGCTACTGGCCGTATAAAATTCTAAGGGACGCCACTAAAAAGGAAATATACAATGAAAAAAATAAATTTCAAAAAAAGAACGCCCAGCTGCCAGCGTTACGCCGCATAGCGTCTATTGTGCGAATGGGACAGCGGTATTCCGAGTGAACTGAGAGTGAAAGAGAGATGTATACGGATTAAAGGGAACTCGGTAGAGGATTAATTTTATTCCCGCATTAAATGTGTATTGGGCTTTAAATCTAATAGGTCGCGAGCCGTTAATTTTGTTTACTGATTTACAAGAGTTTTATTAATACTGAGTTTACAAGAATGTTGGTTTTCCGAAGACCGGTAGCTGGAGATTTATAAGAAATCATTCAACCGGATACAGATTAAAAACGAGTTGCAACTAAACATAGAGGATAGAGTTGCGTATAAAAGAACTTTCAAACTAAAATTAAAAAAGTCTGGGCATATTTGAATCGTATCTATTCTATGACGAAGCGTTTTTTTTTAAAACAATTTTAAATGCTATATTGAAAAATGTAACGTTTTGGAGATATAATTGAAGCGAAAAACGTCCTTTTTATTTTTAAAAATATATGGCTACCTGAAGTTTGTTAAAAAAATTGCAACTTTTTTCGCTCAACCCCTTTAGGGATTAAAGTCCCGATGTTTTTTTTACTCTATGCCGTGTAAATTATCATTTACTTCGTTTTCATCATGACCAACCATGTGTGAGTTTTCATGAATGAGCATAACCTCTCTCTTTCGTTTTGTGTGTTAAGAAGTGAGATAGATATATCTTTTACAGATATATTTACAAGGTACTAATTGTGATGTGATGTAGTATTTTATGAGTAGATCTGATCGAATTAAATTACCTCTACGACGTCATCAAAACATTGCTTTCCTTTTTGTAATAACTCAAGTCTCCTATTCATGTTTACGTAATACTAGCTGTTGCTCGCGACTTCGTCCACGTGACATTTAATAATATAACTAATGTCTCTCAGCGATAACGTAGTTTTTTAATGGTGAAAGTTTTCTTGAAATGAACAATGAACAAAAATACAAATCTTTCTCTTTATAATATAAGTATAGAGAAACAATATTTAACTTAAGTTTTTCTAAGCCACTGCAGAATTAATGACAGATTGATATACACGAAGTATTCTGGTCAAGCAGGGAAAGGTTTGTGTTAGAAAATTTAAAAAACAAACAATTTTTTTATCAGATACAAAGAGAATGCTTGCACTATGACATTTTACTCAGTACACACGTTTACCAGAAACGCCATAAGCGACGAATTAAAAACAAAACTCGTAATAAATATAGCCTATGTTACTTAGCGATTATGTAGCTTTCTAATAGTGAAAGATATTTTAAAATCTGTCCAGTAGTTATTAAGTTTATGTGTTACATAAAAAAAATGTTTTTTTATAAGTAAAGATTTTGACTAGCATTACAATCCGTATCGGGTTCATTTAGTAAAAAATCCATTATACATATTCAAATCGACTATTCGTGTGGTCTATAGAGTTCTGAAGGCTCTAAGAAACGGGGGAGGCCTAATCCGTACTCTTCGGTTCCCCTTTGAGGGCCCACGGATTTGTGTACAACCCACAAAGTTTCCCTTTTTAACTGGTCGCCTTTTTAGTTGCCTTGAGGGTGACCGAGGACAAGAATATTGTATATTTTTATTTTACATTATAGTAAAACATTTTCGTATAATCTAACTATTATAAATGCAAAAGTTTAAATGGATGGATGTTTGTTAGAGTTTGTAGCCTAAACGGATGAATGTCGATGAAATTTAGTTGTAGAGGATAGTATGGAAGAACACTACTACTTACTTTTGTTTTTCAATTCCACGCGGATGGAGTCGCGGGTGAAAGTTAGTTTTTACATTAATCTGTATTCTGATATTGTAAGTTAAATTACAATATCTTTTTTTAAAGACTTAATACACCATATTGTTAATTTTAGTCCCTAAGCGACTTACCACGTACAATATCATAAAAATTTGTACAACTATGCGTTGTCGACATTACTGTTAAGATTGTCGTAAAAGAATTCGTTTCGGTATACAAGATGGCGGAGAAAATTTTGTCGACATACGACTTGCGTCGACGACTGCACCTTTATACGGATCGCTCTACGCGATATTGACGACGCAAGTATACGACATTAGATTCACACACGTTGCTTTGTGTACGATAAGGTTTACTGTGAATTTCCACTGTCAGAATTACGGCAGTGGAATATACTTTTATTAGTAAAATTAATTACATTTCAAATATAAATAGGACCAATTACTACGTTTATATTGAATGGAAATACGGGAATTTATTTTAATTTCATAATAAATTTACCAGAACCGATGTTATTTAAAACTGTGATCTACATATAAATAATTAAAATGACATTTGACTGTTAAATTACAAAATAAAATCTTATCTTGAATACTACAAATGTAACATCAAAATTCCAACCAGACACTAATTAAAGCAACTAACAAGCGACTTCCGTTTCCCCACATTTCGGGAGTACCGGGGTAGTGGCAACACTGGGGCCGCGGGGTGGGGATAAGCCGCTTATAAGGGGGACGCGCGGCCTGTTTTGATTATTTCGAAGGATGTCTTCTTGCGACGTAAATTATGCATCGCTCCTATTCTCTCCGCTGTGCCTTAGAACTGGTTCGTAAATAATTTAGATTGGAAACGTTCTGTTTTGGGAGTTTTATGTTTTTGGTTGAATTATAAATTACATTGAAATTTGATATCTATCTATATGTGTGGGTAGTTGAAACATGCAGTAAGTTTATAAATATTTCAAAATAATTCTACTAAGAATTTTTTTTCGGTTGTGGAAAGGATTTATTCAGTATGTAGTGTTACGGGGGGAACCAACGATCCGCCTGATGCAAGTTACACCGCGTAACATCATACAACGTAACGTCCGTTAGTATATTTTGCCCAATATGCAATTAAATGATTTTAGTAAAATTTAAACACAAAATTTCACAAATATAAACAAAATATTAGAACAGTATATGGCAATAAAGAAAAGGAAATTGTAACATTGCCGACTCGAGTCTCGAGTTGTCTTCGGAATTATTTTAATAAGAATTTTAATGAGAATTCGTAATATCTACTGAAAATAATTTCGTAAGAACTCTGTCAAATATACCCGTGAGATATTCAATTTACTTAAATGTCGAGAGTTTATTATTTTTCTACATTTTTGTGTCTTAGATAATATTGTTTTTAACATAATTTCTTGCTATTTACTAGCAACAAATTACTGTCAGTTTTTTTTTGTTATATGTGTATAAAATTAAAACTAACCTTGTGGGAATCCAACTGCCTCCAATCCGTGATGCGTCAAACCGAACGGACCCAATCCACCCAAAGGCCCTGGTCCCATGCCCATGTGATGGGCACTAGAATGATGGGCATAAGGGTTTTGAGCCAACGGCGAAGGCTGCTTTAGATAATGGAAGTAATGATGCAATGGCGTTGTTGAATGGTGCGCCTGCGGTGCCGCCGGCCCAGTCGCCGTCGGTCCCGTAGCAGACGCCGAATTCGTCAACAGCGCCATGTTGCTTTTTGTTTTTTTTTTATCCGAAAGGCAAAAGTCACCGCGTCAGCCTCTTCCGCGTGTGTATTGACATTTTGGCTGTTGGTTTGTCTTTTTTAATCTGTAATCGGCAGTTGGGGTGACATTTTTGTGGTTATCTGAAACAAAAGGTTTTTTTTGTTAATCTTTGAATGAATTACCTGTTCTATTAGGTAGCAAAATATTTGTCATTTGTTACAAGTTATAAATCGATGGCTCGTAAGTAGACAAGTCATAATTTTGCGATTTACGCCTTGTTTTTTTTTTAAATGATTATGATTGTTTGATAAAATTATTTTTAACATGATAGATATAATATCTGTGTAAATTTCAAAATAAAATTAGATTTAAGATGAGATTTTTATTGTCCATCATATGGTCCTTTTTTATGCGTCGTAATTAATTGCAAATGCATTTCAAACATACGATAGTGTACAAAGGAGCAGTCGAAAACATTTTAATTACATACATAACCTTCCAACAAAAATATTCCACACTAAAAATTCAACAAACTAGTTAAAATACATTGAACACTACCATTTTAAATTCAATAGACAAGAAAAATACACAAAAACATATTTAATTGTAATTAAACAAGTTCCGCTTCATAAAGTAACATTTTATCTTTCAATTAGACACACGTCAATTACAATTATAAATACTGTCAATTATGTTTTTTGCGTAGTTCACCTTTTTGGTGCACAATTGGCGTGTTATTGGGAGATTTTATGCTATGGCAATACAATGCGAGTCAAAAGCGCGGGAACGCCTCGTGATTTATTTGAATGGGCGCGAATTCGTCACGTATCCTACACATTCGGATATAGAAATGAATTAGGGTTCTGTATACACGTATTGAAAAGGTTCCAGGCATGTATGAATCTTACTAATCTTACTTATATGATAAATGTGAAAGTTTGGATAGATGTTTGTTAGAATTTGTAGCGTAAACAGCTGAACACATATCGATCGAATTCGGCATAGATGTAGAACATAATCTGGAAGAATAAGAACTCGCAGGCGAAAGGTAGTGTGTCTTAATTTCAAATTTTTAGAGTTTTTAGAGTCAAAGATATGTGTGAAGTTACCCCTTACTTATGTTATTTGAACAATCTGTATGAAGTTTTTGAGAATTATGATAGTTATTTTAATTTTATTTTAAGTAATACAAAACGCTGCAATTTAAAAATAAAAAAGAGACATCAAACTAGAGTTTGGTGGCGTTGAAGTTGTATTATTTTGTAACATTTTTTAAAGATATGCTATGTAAATTATGAGACAAATTAAATTGACATTGTAATATAAGGATAGCTTATGGTATAAAGTTATGTATTTTATTTGAAATATTTTATAATTCATTAATTTTAGCGATAATTTTGCAATTTTATGATGAAAACTTTCAAAAATGAAAATTGTTTTACGTAATTCTATGATGTAATAACTTTTGTTCTGTTTATTATTAGAAAGAAAAATTTAAATCGATATTCTAGAAGAATTTTCAATACAAAATAATTATTTTTATTTCTACGGAACCATGTCACATTCACGTGTTCTTTACTGTTTTTTTTTCCTTTTGTATTCGCAAAGGTACATGTAGGTACATGTTTACAGACATTTTGTCACGTTTGTTTTTTTTTCTTCCCTTACCTGAGATTCCTTTTGGCAAATTGACGGGACACGTTTTGTGCGTGAAGGTATATCCAACGATTTACAGAGGCATGATACGTAACTTGGTAATTTTTTTATATAAACTATAACAATTATTTAAATTAGACTGAACATTTCATTACAAAAAGACTGAAAGCATAGACAAATTGTATTTTTAGTTAAGTCTTATTGCTTCTACATTCCACACTTTTTTGCTTTTTATAAAAGAGGGCAAACAAGCGGCGGGAACACAGAGGTCAACGACGCCCATGGACATGCAACACCAGAGGAACTACAGACGCGTTGCCGGCCTTTGAGGAAATTGTAGTCTCGCTTCTTGAAGGACCATAAGTCGTGGTTTGGCAATACCGCCAGACCATTCCACAACGCGGCTAGGCTCCCACTAAAGAACTGTAGACCATTTCACTTATAGTAAGATGTCTCTTTGATTAAGTCTGCTACAAGTAATAAAAATTACGAACTTAAGGGACACTGTTGTTGAAAGGCACAAAATGCAGCCTAACGGATCTCTAAAAAGGAATTATTGGTAAAAACGGTCATCTAAAACATGAAGGAACGACTATGGTTAGGATAGAAGTTAGAGAAAACCGGTATTACTTTAAAAACTATCAAAACCTTTTATTTGTTTACAGTGAAAGTGAAAAAAAACAACTAATTTTTTTTTATACAAAATTGTCACTTTTACCTAATAGATATCGATTCTTAGAAGCTTTCTATAGCCCACCTTGATTTTGTCAACAGATTATCCCTAAACCGCACAGATAATATCTATCTTAAAAACTGTGTTATTCAATTTTAAACTGTATTACAAAGTGCTAAAGTCTAATATCCTATGCTGTTATAAAAATGAAGTAATTTATGTGTTAAATGAATTTGAACTTTAACTCAAAGGTGTAAAGACTAGTATAGAATGTGTTAGTTTTTTTTGCAAGGATTTTCGCTTGAGCGATATTTTAGCGGCAACTCCTTGGAAGGTGTTCAATTGTGTAAGGGTACAGCCACACTTGGGTTTTTCTTACGCAGAAGTGTGTACGCATCATTGAATCTTTTAAAGACTTTATGTAAGGTAAATGTTGAGTTTTTATAACCGTGTTAATTCAAATTGCCTGATATTTTCGTATACGTTTACGAATAATTATTTCATCTTTACATTACACAGTTTTATTTTTTAAAAATCTGTTAAACATATCTATCTGTACTATTATAATAAATCGTAAACACACACTTTGTTGCCTAAGATGTCAGCAATTACAGCATATTTTTGTATAATTCTTTTTTAAATAAAAATCCCTACACTTACGTCATGCTTTAGGCTATATATTTTCAGTATTAAACTTAGGGGGTAAATATTTTGGATAAAAACCCTAATGTGGGAAAGAGACCATAAGTTGCTGCCAACATCAAGAAAGAAAGATTGCCAAGTCTATTTGACATTTGCAATTGACAACTTGACACATGTAAACAATAAAATAATTTTATGCTGATAAAATCGCACGGGAACAGCTAGTATAATATAAAAATAAAAAGTTCAATGGTTTAAAATGCTGTTACAGGTTCAGCGATAATCATTTTTTTAAACGATTTTCTTGCGATTTCAGAAACTATAACATGTACACTACTGGTTTTCTATCTGAAAACCCGTGCACATCTTTGACTAAACTATCGCACAACTGTCTAGTCTCGCTTTGATTCCTATGAGTTTATATGGAGGTACACTATTCGATTTTTAGTTGTGCAACTAAACAGTGTGGCAATTACACTTAACCGGACATTGTGGCAATCAAGGGGGGAGGCCTACATTCAGCAGTGGACGACCTATGGCCGAAAATGATGATGAACTAAACAGTTGAATTGCGAAACAATCGACAATCGCACAACTGGTTTGAAATATTTTTGATGTTTTTTTACCAGTGAAAACACAAAAGTAATTGTTAAAATTATTTTCCATCTATCCCCTTACATATAGTGTCAATAAGAAATCTATTTGCCCAGCATCCAATAAACGCCCATAAATAATATCATCGCAAACAGCCGCCATATTGTGGTAAACAAACATTTCGCGCCCTTTCCATATTTGCGCAGTTGGCAGCACTGAACGTCACTAAACTGAACAAATGATTTATCGATTTATTTGTATTGATGTTTTATTTAGAAATAATAAGAATCATACTAATATTATAAATACAAAAGTTTAGATGGATGTTTGTTAGAGTTTGTAGCCTAAACGGGTGAACGAATTTCCATGAAATTTTGTAAAGATGTAGAGGATATTCTGGAAGAACACATAGCGTACTTACATTAGTTTTTTTTAATTCCACGCGGTTAGAGTTTCGGGCGAAAGCTTGTTACGCATATTTGGGTTGCTGAAGTTTCCGTTTATTTTATCACTAGATGTTACTTGCGACTTCGTCTGCGTTAAATTAAAAAAGTAGTAAAAACATAGCCTATGTTACTCAGTATTAACATTGTAGCTTTTTGGTGCAAGAATTATTGGAATCGGTCCACTTATTGAGTTGACTAAACTGCTGCACAGATCTCTATAAATTTTGGCATAGATGTAGAGGGTCTGGAAAAAAACATACGAGTAGACTATGTGCTTTGTTTTTTAAATTCAAGCGGCCAGTGTCGCGGGCGATAGTTAACTATAAAATGTAGTTTGCATTTACATTACCTGTTGATTTCGTATACTAACTATACAAGACCACTTAATTTTGAGCACAATTGCAAATTGCTTTTAATAAATTAGTGGCAGTTTACTATATAAATTATCAACAATTCGAAATAAACTAGTTATGGTCCAATTTTCTTCCAACATATAACAATGGTAGTTAACAAAAGGTGCCGACAGGCTTTGCGGTTCTACCCGCAAATGGATACTCGGAAATACGTTAAAAAAAAAAGTAACCGCCATAGAAACTTTAATGGTGTCCCCCGATGCGAGAAATTTGTCACAATAGTACACCCCTAGTTGACAATTATCACGCCCGAAATTAATTCTTTTGTCATAAAGCCCATATACTTGCGTATACGTAGTAAATATATATTATAATAGCTTATATGTATTTCACATTAGAAGTTTAATAAAATGGACGAAGTATAATTATAAAACTAGCCTATGCTCGCAACTTTGTCTGCGCGGAATTAAAAAAGAAAGTCGTCTGTTTTTAAGAATTACAAGTCCTTTATTCATACGTTTTCAATCATAATTTGGTCAAAAACCTTATTTATATTACCTGAATACAACCATAATATGCAATATAAAATGCACGGTTCCATTAAGGGTATTGAAAAAATCTTACAATTGTATCAAAGTTTGTATTTTTTCGAAGCAAGCGTAGAATAAACAGTAGCTATGTCTTGTTTGTTTTCGTAACTCGAATGCACCGAAAAAAAATAATTTGATATCGGACACGCATGTTTTGAACGCAGCCCCAAAATCGTGACGTATTGT